CGCCTCAGCTCTGCGGATGTCTCGGGGGTATGGCAAACTGGAGTCGTTTTTTTTTTGAATTTCTGTCGGTGGGTTCGAACCCCATCGTATTTAGAAACGATAAGAGTTTCCATTTTCTTAAAGCATTAAAAAAAAAAAATATGTTTCTTTCAACTTCAGACATTTTTGCTACATGAATACAGAATATTATTATTATTATTATCATAATCATTACTATTATCATCATCATCATTATTATTATCATTATTATTATTATTATTATTATTATTATTATATCCCGGCTTAAAATCCTTTGTCCCATATTCCTAAAATAACTAATTATCACCAATTAGAGTTAAAATCAAACATTACTAATTATTTTTTTGATTATCTCTAATAATAATTTATTTATCCTTTATCCTAAAACCCTTAACAAGGGTTCAAGCTAACAACCGCATATAGAATATTCCAGTGGTTCGCTTTCTCTCCATCGAATGAAAACTAACGAGCTAAGACAAGCAATAAACTAACTAATATTAACACTAACCAATAATACCAAATATTCATTAATGGTTTCCGGGAGTCAGAATAAGCAGTCACAGAAGCAGTCAGATATGTGTCAAAGCGTCAATGTGCGAAGGCTAATAATAAAGAAGATGCTAAGCTGTCGTGTCAAAGACTTCGCAGTTTTTATAAAAAGTAAACAGAAACTTGGAATTGCAATTGAATCTGATTTGATCATAGAATAAAGCTATATCTCTTATTTTAACTCAACTTAGGATGGCTACTGAAAAACATACTAAAGAGTGAATGAAAGAATCATGTCTTTATATAAACTTTAGCAATATCAATATATGAAAACTACTAAGAATAGATTATGATGATTAAGAGCTACATACAATAATGTATCAAAAAATCCAACAATAAGAATCCTGATCAACCACAGAAAATAGATCATAATCTTGACTAACACTGAAATATAAATAATAAAAAGTACTCGCAAATATATAATAAATATATTCATAGATGACTCATGAATATAACAGCAGGTATCTCTATATATAAAAGAACACTGAACCTATATATAGCTCATGAATGAATGAATGATTGAAATTTAATTCAAGTGCATATAACACACGACAGCTATAAATAATATATATATAATAATATATAATTTCAAAAAATACTGATAACCCAGTGGCCCTCAAAACACACAAAAAACCGCAAAATTTCTACAGTTTTCTCACTTCCTTATTGCCCTTGGCGGGGACGAGTAGGGGATTGGGCACTATTTTGTCGCACAGGGCAACGCTTTTTAATGTGTGTTTAACGCCATTGACTCGCCTATATAGGCCTCCTCGGCTCTGACGTAATGTTTTCCCATTTCAGACCACGTGTCATTCACTAGAGTATCATTTCTTTGTTTAATGGTTGCACATGAGAAGACACATAAATATGGATACAGCTAAAACAAAGAATATTATTCTCAAGGGAATGACACGTGGTCTGAAGCAGGACAACATTACGCTCGCGTGCTCCAGAGCCGAGGAAGTCTATTGATGATGTTTCACCCGTTTCATTGCAACCGTCCACATAGCGGTACTGATAATAATATTGTTTACCCGAAATGCTGAAACGACTTATCAATTTCCTGTTCATAACAACACAACAGCACAAAGCTATTCATGAAATGTCTGATTTTCTTTATATGGTGTTTTATGGGAATAAAGACCAATGTTAGCTACCACTGGACAATAACTGTGGTATCAAAGAGAAAGTAAGAGTGGAGCGTGAATGAGGGGCGCGCTGTTTCGATCCACAAGACGCAAGATTCATAACTCTCTAAACAAGTGTGGTCTTATCTTCACTAAATAGTGTTCAATTACCATGATTCGATTATCGATACGAATGTACCTGTGCTTATGTCTAGTGAAAATAGCGATATGGAAAGTTGATGGAGAGAAAGGTAAGTCAAATACGAGAACATTAAACTGAAAGTTCTAGTAAATGTTAGAAAATTGCAAAGTCAGTATTACATTTTCATGTTAGATAAATAACAACAAAATCTTAAGAAGCAAACTAAAGAACGACTCAACAGTAAAACAGAGACTATTACTGAATACTGCATTACCAAGGTTCAAAGTGATTGAAAATCATTGACTGTTGTACAATTCACATGAATGGTTCGAATTATATAGAGAGCACTGCATGACTCTGAGAGGAAAAGGGATCTTCGAGTGTTTGCCTTGATTAGAATTCCTACTGTGGCCTTGGTGCAGCAATGATCAGCATGTCATGCAGAGAAGTCCTGACTTAGCTCAGTGCGACCAGTTTCTCGATTTACAACACGCATATATTTTTATAATGGTATATGATGAATTACATTAATGAATGTTCCATTTGTTTTTAAGGTTCTGACTTGGCTAGTTGTTCTTGCTACTCTTTTGTCGATAAAACAACATCAGCAAATCCAAGTTCAAACTTATGTAAAACTGAAGGTGGTTACTTAGTTTCTATGGAAACATTAGAAGAATGGGAGTTTATCAAGACACAGATACAAAATAGGACGACAGAAAAAGGTGGTTACGATGAATGGTGGATTGGTCTTAAGAAGAGAGATGGAAGATGGGTATGGCCGAGTAACCACTCCCTGACGTATAATAAATGGCTTCGAGGAACACCAGTGGACGATCGACAAAAGAAATTTGCAGCAATTGTAAAGGAATTCAATGGTACACAAGGAGGATTCAACGATACGATAGACATTGATCCTAAAGGAAGGATATGTGAACATCACAAAACAAGTAAGCCATTCAAATCAAATTATCCCGATTCTTTGTTGTTTGTTACGCCCTGTTAAGAATAAAATGGTACTATGAAAAAGACTTGTTGAGTCGTTTTGTTTTAGAAATAAGACATGTATTCATACCCTCTTTGATATAGATTGCAGCGGTAAGAATAAACTTCGTTGGTGTAGCTCACGTACATCTACACTACACCCAGTCTCCGAGACACAGAATACCACAAAAGGTATTGGTCTTTAACTTCATTAATTGATAATTGATTGTCCAAGGGAGAAAATGGAGATCTGAGGTACACTAGTTCCATTAAGTTACCTTCTGTGATTCCATATGTTCATTATTAATGGTACGTTGTTAGGGGCAGATAATCTGGTGCGGTCCATCCTCTGGTTCAATGCTCCAGTGCAGTATATAAGTATACACATAATATAGTCGCGTCTATTGATGATTGTTATATCTTTATAGAGTTGAATGAATCAGACATCGTCTTACCTCGACACCCATCTGAATGCGCAGTAATAAAGAAGTCAGACACACCCGTCATCATTCCCATCATGGTGGCCTTGGCTGGTCTAGCTGTCATAGTTGCCATCAATATCATCATCGTCAAATGGAGGAGGAACACAGTACAAGGTATGTACCCCAACATCACCCATTCAGTAATATCAGTACTTCTTTGCCATCAATATTATTATCATCAAATGGATGGACACAGTACAAGGTATGTACCTTAACATCACCTATTCAGTAATATTGGTACTTCTTTGCCATGAGAAGGAACACAGTACAAGGTATGTACCCCAACATCACCCATTCAGTAATATTGGTACTTCTTTGCCATGAGAAGGAACACAGTACAAGGTATGTACCCCAACATCACCCATTCAGTAATATTGGTACTTCTTTGTCATGAGAAGGAACACAGTACAAGGTACTACTGTTGCAGCACTTTACTGACATTTACCTCGATTGAAGATGTTCCAAGGTTACAGGTGAAAATTACATCTGATAGATCCGTGGGTGCAGGAGATCAGGCCCATCCTTTCTATTCTGTAGTAACAGTTAAACAAAGAAGAAAAACATATCTTAAAAGATTCTTTTCTTTTTCAGAGTCAAGCAAGAAGAGAGAGCACTCGTAAGTACCCACATGAAACATCGAGTAGATACTAGAAATGTTACCATGCCATAATATTAGCTGTCTTTAGTAAGTTTAAGCTGCAACGACTTGTTTAACACAACAAGTCATTCAATATATCTGGCTTCTACTTTGCATAACAATGGATTATGTAACTGCTTGCATAGTATAGTATGACGCAGTTTGTGAGTGGAAACCGGTTTCTGATATAAATATGCAGCCATGTTTTTGATTTGGAGAGTGGAGATAATCGTCCTCTCTTGCTGCGTTTATGGTAAACTGCGAAGGAAGAAGCTCAACGTTTCGTTTTTGATAAAAAAACATGCATGTTCTTTTTCTCATGATTGCTGCGCTTATTTGATTTTGAAACTTTACATAAATATCTTCATTTTTCAAGTGCAAGCCATTCTGAACCAATACACATGGATCCCGCTGATGGAACTACGATTAACATGAACCTTGCTGGGTCAGGAATCGAAGATGAAGACACGTTGCAACCAAGGGAAGATCGTACTGATAACTCAACGACGAATCCAGATGATGGAAAACATGATATTATCGACATCGACGTGAGCTGTGGCAACACAGGTAAACCACAACAACCTTATTATGTGAATGTACAAGAAAGTACGCAACAAAACACCTTGCAGGATACTGAAACTAATGACCATTATGCATCGGTGAGTGATATAATTGAGGCAGACGGACAGAAAGATTCCTTTGTGGAAGTAAGAACCTATTCAATAGTGCGTAATGATGATGCCGAACAGACAGACGATTTGAACACTGCCAACTATGCAACGGTGAGTGACACTCTTGGTAAGGACAGACAGACAGTTACTTTGGTGACAACAGAGTCTGGGTACGCGTCTGTTGATGTGTCCAACAAGAACCAGCACGAAACAACAGCCAACGCACCGCTCACTGACGAATCCGTACAGTACGGGGTCAACACAGACGATGGTTATTCTCCTGCTGAGGTAATATACGATAATTGTCAAGACGTTCTACCGGTCCAAGAACGACAAGCCAACTCGCAACACACTCCGGCTAACAGCGTACCTAATCCTGGGGTAAACGTAGAGTACGCAGCTGTTAACAAGAGTATGAAAAAGAGAAACAGGAGTGTTAATGAAACTGCAAACTCCAAAGAGCCTAAAGAAGCTAGC